GTGGTTGACTCTTAACTTTTATAAAGAATATCTCTTTGGATTTGAGACTTTAGTCTTTGCAACTTTACAGATCTTCTTTATGCACCAAGAGCTTGTAACACTCCAAAGAGAAAGGAAAAATTGAAATCGCATCATATGACCCCTTTAATAGGCTTTTCACTCATTTCCCAAAGTCATCTTAAACGTTGAAATGTCAATACAACTGAAAAATTTGAGAGAACTTCGAAACTTAGTGTTTTCAAGGCAATGGGTTTGCATGCTTTTTTAAAAGTAAGCCTAACTACTTTGATTTTACAGTGTAGGCATGTTCGTACAAATATTTGTACAGAACAACACTGAGAAAATGATATTTTTGCAGTGCTGCTTGAAAACTCTGCTCAAGGATATAGAGTGAGTTTCTGTAACCATGGCAAATGCTGACTACACTACAAACATCACAATGTTTTCTGGACTTCAAAACCATGTGCAGCGAATCCAGGGAATCGACACTTCAGACGGCAGGATGCAGGATCTAAGACGGACTGTGACAGCAGTGAAAGCCGCTCACGTTCACTCTGGCCTGCACTAGTATCCATTAGTGAAAACGCTGCACAGTAAGAATCAAAATAATACCAGAGACAATGCCAGGATCCGCTCGGCTCTCTATTCTGTATTCAGAGGATCTCTCTAGAGGCGGTGTAGTATGTGAAAGCTTGATAAAAGCAGATTTTTGTCTGTGTGGTGGGAAAATGACATGTGACACTCTTGCTTTTGTTCATTTTTCTTAATTCTGCTCATTTAAATGATACTCGGCTGACCCAACCTTAATCTTTGTGCTTTTTATGAATAATACAACCATCTCACTCTGTTTCTCTCTCTCTCTGTGTGTGCGTGTGTGTGTTTGTGTGATGGAGAGAGAGAGAGAGAGAGAGAGAGGGACATTACATAACTTACTGAGTTATGAATCTAAAATCCACATTAATTATTGGTACTTTCCACAAGCAGTGTGAAAAATACACCTTGAAACTCTTGAAAAATTAAGTCAAACTGGGTTTCTTATTCAACACAGTGTGAGATATGAAAAGAGGTGTAATAGTAAAGTAGGTTTTAGTTTTTTCAAACTAAATATTACATGTGTTTTTTTTTTTCCAAGTCTTGCCTGAATATCTAAATTACAGTTCAAAACCTTGGTTGTGTTTTTTTCATTATTCGCTACCATTAAATAACATAAAACTTAAACATATTAAAAGAATAAAGAAAAATGGCTGAAAATTTAGATGAGTTTGTTTTTCAGTGTAACAGATTGGTCACCAGTGGATCTTCTACAGTGAATGGGTGCCGTCAGAATGAGAGTCGAAAAAGCTGATAAAAACATCACAATAATCCACACCACTCCAGTCCATCAGTTAACATCTTGTGAAGCAAAAAGCTGCATGTTTAAAAGAAACAAATCCTTCATTAAGATTAGGACATTCTTTACTTTAATCACTTCTGGCCAAAATTTGAGTACATATTAACATTTCCCACAGTGAAAAAAATTTGTCTAGTCTGAAACAAGAGAGAAATATGCACAGATCACGCATTGTTTACAAGCAAAAAAAAAAACAGTTCTAAACAAATATGTCAGTGGATTTTGATGTCAGAGGATAAAAGCTAATGGACATTTTCAATGGAGGAAGTGTTGTTATGGATTATGGACTCATGTTTTAGTAGGAGCGATGGTGTGAAGTTAAAAAAAAGTAATGATGGATTTGTTTCTTACAAATTACTTGTGGATTATTGTGATGTTTTCATAAGCTGTTTGGGCTCTCATTCTGACGGTACCCATTCACTGCAGAGGGTCCATTGGTGAGCAAGTGATGTTAAATTTCTGCAAATCTGTTCCAATGAAGAAACAAATTTATGTACATCTTGGATGGCCTGGGGGTGAGTAAATTACATAAAATATTAATTTATAATATTAGCCTAACTATAAAGCAAAATTTTACTCAGCACAGGTTAGTTATTGGACCAAATATTTATCAACACAGTTTTTCCCATATATATTACAGATTTTTTTTTTTGATGCATTACATGCATTTAGCAGATATTTATATCCAAAGAGACTTAAAGTACATTCAAGCAATAGATTTAATCTAAGCATTGTTTGGGAATCAAAGCCAAGATCAGCACAATGTTCTACTAGCTGAGTTAGAGTGTAACACACCTAGTTCTCTCTCTAATAAACATGGAATTTATACTTTCAGTGCTTCAAAAATAATGGGAAATTGCCAGTTACGATATGCAAAATCAGAAAGAGCTCACTGCTATTACTTGGTTCACCAAATGCAGGTTCAAGACATTTTGTGCATCAATTTTCAATTTCCTCTCAATAGCCTAAAAATGTCTCCAGTTTACAAGCTAACAAAACATGTCAACAGCAACACTGGTGGCTGATAAAGTGTTTTGTGGCTGAAGCTCCAGCACAGCGTTTCATTTATAAGTCATGATTGACAAGTGAGGATTTGTGGCAGTTCTATTTAAATGGCTCTTTGAAAAGTACAAATGAAAAAAACTTTCCAAAAAGTAGCTTTTTAGAAGCACTTGTAGATCAAAACTGTATTTTTTTTAAACCAGCTCAGAAAAAAAGAAAAATTACAGAAAACACCCTCTTAACATCAACCGTCAGCAATCCAAAATCAAAATGGAAACCAGCTTGTTCTTCTTTGAAAAAAGACCCCCATCAATCTCACATGTGTCTCAAACAGTGCTCAAGATGTAATACCTGTAATCAAATGTGAACATTCTCAAAATGAACTCATCATATCTCATCAAATTCCTCCAAAACCATTTGATATGAGCTCTATTCACAATCCCACAGTTCTATACAATCATCTCATTTGTATCTATTCTTATTAATAAGGAATTAGAAGAAACATCTGAGGCCAAGTTGATACTTACCTGAAACCCGACTGAGAGCTTCATTAAGTCTCCTGAGCTATGAACAAGCAACTCTGAGCGATAGATTTTTCTTCTGGGTAAAGGCTTTGAGGTTTTTTTTTTTATTATTCTTTGCACTACAGCTAAAACAAGCCTGTTGAATGATGTGACAAATAAAACTCTGGAAAAGCCAGCAGACTCACATTTATCCCGAATCCACAGGCAGTCTCCACAATGCATCCCATTGAGAGATTATGTTCAGAAACCCAAAACCAGCCATTGATAAGACTTACAGGAACAGAGGCTGCTAGTGTACAAGGCAGGAGAGAGAGAAAGTAAATATAAGGGTGTTCAAAGAGGACAGAGAGAGAAAAGACCTGAGAGGGAAGATGAGAAGATGAGAGCAGAGCCCTGAAAGAGTCCCACAGACATTAGCCTTCAATATTCTCTCTGCTTTTCTTTTCTTTTCACAAGTTTCCCCCCTAAACAATCGAATGTATTAAAGCATTTCAATTTCTTAGTTGCCTCTGCAGTCTGATTCAATATACAGGTGGCCATATTTGTACCAAATTTCTGCAAGCATATGATGTAGGAATTTTTCTCAGAACTAACTTCACTTTTCCTTATCATTACTGTAAATGTGTAAAGTCAGTTCTCCTCAAATTAACTATGAACATGCACCAAAACATTTTCCATGTTCAGATAAACATCACATGCCATGTGGGCAGTGTGCTGACATATGGTGCAGTTGTGCTTCGGGTGTCCCGAGATCGAATCCCGCCTCATGGACCTTTGCTGTTCCCACTCCTCATCTCTCTCTCTCTCTCCCACTCACTTCCTGTCATATATCTACTGTCCTGTCAAGCAAAAATGCCTAAATAAATAAATGAAAAGTTTGTACTGAGTAACACAGTATTTTGTTTGTTTTTAACAATAGAATAGGTTGAGTGAATGATTCAGTGACTCAGTGATTCCTGAGTGAATCTGTGTGTTTTAATAAATTGCTTAAGTGAATGATTCAGTGACTCGCTCATAACAGTCACCTGTTTTGTTGCTGAATGATTCTGTTTGTTTGAACAAATCGGCTGAGTAGACAATTCAATGACTCACTCATACTTGTTTAACTGAATCAGCCTTTTTGAACAGGTGGATTTAATGAATGATTCAATTATTTATTCCTAAAGACAGGTGATTGTTTGTTCCTGAATGAATCAGCATTTTTGAATGAACCAGTGGCGGCTCTTGGGTTTTAAAATAGAGGAGGCACACTAATTGTATTGGTCTGGGATCCCTGCCGATTATTATTATTATTATTTGCTTAACCACTTTAAAATGGCTTTTTGCTTGCTTTTAGTTAGAAAACGTATAGAAAACGACACGCATACAGCAAGATAATATAATTTCACTTACCTGGCCTTATCACTTGAAGCAAACATCCATCCATTCTTAAAAGTCTGTGTTAAAAGAGAGCTGCCTGTTGTGCCATTTAATTAAGCCGACTGCTGTAGCCTATATCCAGTTAGGCGTGTTTTCCCTTTTTTTAAATTTGTATATATACTGTTTGAATGACAGCTTGGAAAATCTGTTGGCGATCAAATATTCAATATCGCTACTCATCATAAGTACTTGGTAGATTAGCAGGAGACGTTCGTAATTTACGTCTCTCTGATGATTGGTTGATATACCAGAAGGGAGGCTAGCCTCCCTTGCGAGGTTTCTTTTCTCAACACTCCACAGCGCTGAAAGTGAACACTCGATGCAATATTATTTTTATATATTTATTGTTATTTATTTTGTTATAAGTATATTTTTGTACATAGCAGTACTGTATATTCTATTCTGTTTTGTTTATAGTCTGTGGAAAAGCATTCCAGTAAGATTAACATTGTACTTCGTAGTACTTGTACACATGACGATAAACAACTTTAAAAACAGCAGTCAGGTCATCCTGTCAAACAGCACCTTTTGCATTTCAAAGAAAGAACATCATCTAGGTTTGATCAACATGAGGGCAAATAAATGATGATTGAATTTTAATTTTTAGGTGAACTTTACTGCTTTATCATTCATGTCACTTGTTTGTCTTTCTGCCGTCTTCAAATCCACCTCTCACACTAACATCATTACTAATATCAGTCAGTATGATGTGCTCTTTACATTGCTAACATTCTCACCAATTTTTCTGTCTGTCAGATACCTTTTCATTATTATTTTATCACTGACACACTCGGATAGTTCACCCAGAAAATGAAAATTCTGTCATTATTTACTCACCCCCTCATGTCTTTTTAAATGAAATTGCTTTCTGTATTCTGAGAAACAAAAGATGTTGCTCTTTTGCAGTGAAGGTGGATGTAATTTATACTGTCAAACTCCAAAAAAGGCAAAATAATATCAACGGTACCTGCGTGAGAGAGAACCGTCCGCGGGAGCGGAGTAATAATCTGGATAATAACATGTCGTTCAAACCGGAAACCGTAGCAAAACGTTGCGCACCGGTTTGAGCTTGAACTTGCCCCAGCTCTCTCCCGGCCTCCCCCTCCCCTTCTCTATCACCTAGCGGTTGTAATTACATCAGCAGATTCGGCACATTCGCGATATAAAAGCGGCGCTTTCCAACTTCATTAACATGTTATGGTATTACAGCTGTGAAATTACAAACAAAAAATACACATTCTGAGACATGAACTGAAATGAATTGTGGATTGTATTAACATTAAATCGTCCTCCTCCCATTTTCAATTCAAAATTTTGAGGAAGCTGTGCCTCCCCTGCCTCCCAGGACGAGTCGCCACTGGAATGAACTGGTTAAATTAACAAGCAAATGACTCCCTAATAAAGACAGTCACTTGTCGCCACCTACTGGTGCAAACAGTAATTATTATTATTATTAATTAAAAAAGAAAGAATAATTATTAGTAATGATACTATTATTATGGAAAATTATTATTTTTATATATTTATTGTTATTTATTTTGTTATAAGTATATTTTTGTACATAGCAGTACTGTATATTCTATTCTGTTTTGTTTATAGTCTGTGGAAAAGCATTCCAGTAAGATTAACATTGTACTTCGTAGTACTTGTACACATGACGATAAACAACTTTAAAAACAGCAGTCAGGTCATCCTGTCAAACAGCACCTTTTGCATTTCAAAGAAAGAACATCATCTAGGTTTGATCAACATGAGGGCAAATAAATGATGATTGAATTTTAATTTTTAGGTGAACTTTACTGCTTTATCATTCATGTCACTTGTTTGTCTTTCTGCCGTCTTCAAATCCACCTCTCACACTAACATCATTACTAATATCAGTCAGTATGATGTGCTCTTTACATTGCTAACATTCTCACCAATTTTTCTGTCTGTCAGATACCTTTTCATTATTATTTTATCACTGACACACTCGGATAGTTCACCCAGAAAATGAAAATTCTGTCATTATTTACTCACCCCCTCATGTCTTTTTAAATGAAATTGCTTTCTGTATTCTGAGAAACAAAAGATGTTGCTCTTTTGCAGTGAAGGTGGATGTAATTTATACTGTCAAACTCCAAAAAAGGCAAAATAATATCATACAACTTCTAAAACAGTTTTGTGTGATGAACAGACTGAAATACATTTATAGACAGCTGTATAACATAAAAAAGAATGTCTGCTATGTTATGCTATCTTGAGTATTATTTAGGCTACAGCTACACTTGTGTTTTCAAATAGTTAGAAAATAATGTTCTCATAAACGTAAAATCCTCCTGAAACTCAATTTTTGCATTTTAATATAAAAGTTATTTTCTGACTCTGTTGTCTGTGGATGTGTTTTTGCATAGGATACTTGGCAAGAATACCCTCCAAATATTTAACAGTGCATTTCATAAAAGCATGGCTTGAGTGTAAATCTGTATTAAATAAATATGACATATTTACCTTGTCAATCCACTGATGAGATGAAATGAGATGAGAGTGGTGCATGTGAGCTAAATCTCAGACAGTCACTTTATATAGTATTTGGTTTATATGCTCATGATAAAAAATGACCTCTGCCGGCAGGTTGTATTAATAGACTAGTGGCACATTCCATGTTTTCGATGGGTTAAATTATGCTATATCTAAATAATATGGAATTTATCATAATAATGGCAAATTATTGTTCTTGTGGATTTTTATAAAAACAATAACAACATACTTTTTACAATCTCACTATGTTAATAATTCGTCCACTAACTTACAATGACCAACAGTGGACGTGCATGCATGACAGAAGAACTCTATTTTTTACCATTTACTCCCTCTCTCCGCAAAGTGAGTGAATAAAAACACTAATTTAACGAGCACATATAAACGTCAAATGATGAACGTATTTGAAACGATAAAGGCCCTCAATCCTTCATTCGCGAGGCTGATGTCGTACAGAAGCTCAGATAGATGTATTGATACACAGTCCGCTAACAGTAGTCATCTCACTATGTTAATAATTCGTCCACTAACTTACAATGACCAACAGTGGACGTGCATGCATGACAGAAGAACTCTATTTTTTACCATTTCTCTAAAAGTTTTACCTAATTACGATTCCTGTGTCATGTCCACTGGGCGCACTGATCTATTATTGTTCAGTGATTGAACACAAAAATAAAATACATTTTTATTCTTTCTCTCGTTTTATTATTACTGTCGTAATATGTTCCATGTGGCATTATCTCTGAATTACTAGTAAAAGATGCCATTGTTTTAGCTTAGGTACACTAAACAACACTGAAGTCCTCTCTAGCGCTTTGAATTTAATATTCTTTAAAAGGAAAAGAGCAAAAATAGTGGTGAAGTTATGTAGACTTTTTTTGTGCACATTTAAGATGCATTTCTTTATTTCAAAAATTCACTCGGTGAGTAGAATAAATATTGCGTGAAATTAAGGTTATTTTAAATATAGCTGTGTTATTAGCTAATATTACATGGACATTAAACTGTAAATATTTCTACAAACTGTCAATGCTTCCTACATGTTAATGCATGAATTTCTTTGTATTTGTTCTAGGATGCGTTACGTAGCTGCTTACCTGCTCGCTGCCCTCGGAGGCAAAGAGAGCCCCAGCACAGGTGACATCAAGAAGATCCTGGACAGCGTCGGCGTTGAGGCTGATGACACCCGGATGAGCAAGGTAAATCTGTTCATGAACACCCAGGAGCAAATGCTGTGCTTGTGAGAGACTATGTCCGTCCATATGCTTTTCTTTAATATTGACTTCTGTATTTGTAGGTTGTGTCTGAGCTCAATGGCAAAAATTTGGAGGAAGTGATTGCCCAAGGTAAGCTGGTCGTTGTTTTAAACTGGTAATATAATGGTTACAAATGTAAGGGAAACCTTTGACTTGAGGATATAGGCCTCTTACTGCTTAAGACATGGTTCCCATGGTTGTGGAAAACCTGGAAAATGTCAGGGAATTTCAACTTTTTCTTCTAAACTTGAAAAAGTATTGGATATGGCATAAACCTCACTGGGGAGAAGAAAAAAAAACTTTTGACCCAGAAATTGCTAATAAATTTCACAAAGAAAGGAACAAGTAATAATTTGATTTAAATGTGAAATTTTGGAAAACTGAAATGGTATTTTCTTGTGTAGGCTACTTCAGTCATTTTTTAATTTACAACTTTTAAAAAATCAATTCTAAAAGGGTGTATTCATTTTTTTTAAAGGCAGTCTTAAGACTTTTATTTTCATTTGAATAAGTTTGTAGTTTTGGGTACATAATTTTGGGAATAAATTGGATGTAGAATTTAAAATAATTTTCACTCAAGTGAAATCTTGAAGTAGAATAATTAATGTTATGTTCTTGTAATATGTACTTTAATAGTCTTTATTTACAACTTTAAATTTATCAAATAAATGTTTCACAGTGTATGATAATGATTTAGGCTAATTGGCATGTAATGTTTTATGTAATTGCTGCTTTTTTTCTGTACAGAACCTTGGTGGCTTTGAAAGTACTTTATTAAAGATTGAGTTGAGAATATCAAAGTTTGTAAATTCCGGCTCTAAAATAGTTTAATAGGAATTGCATTTTGTGAGTATAATCTTTATAAAATGTTTTCTAAAAAGACTAATCAGGTAATCACTAAAGAGTGCATGGGAACCCTACAGGTCACTTTATAGGGATAGTTCACCCAAAAATGAAAATTTGATGTTTATCTGCTTACCCCCAGGGCATCCAAGATGTAGGTGACTTTGTTTCTTCAGTAGAACACAAACGAAGATTTTTAACTCAAACTGTTGCAGTCTGTCAGTCTTATAATGGAGGTGAATGGGAATCACGGCTTTGAGAGTAAAAAAAAACATACACAAACTAAACCCTGCGGCTCGTCACGAAATGATCGGTCTGTGCAAGAAACTGAACAGTATTTATATTGGGTTTTTTTTTTCCCTCTGATGCACTGCAATGTCTGAACTGTCCTGAGCACGTTCTCAACAGCCGATGAGTCTTCATCTTGCTTTATGGTGGATCGCAGACTTATAAGTGCATTACTGCCACCTATCTCTCAAATGGACCATTGACACGCTATCAACAATCTCAATTAGGAGTGTCAATGGCTGTCGAGGACGCGCTCAGAACAGTTCAGACATTGCAGTGCATCAGAGGTAAAAAAATTATATAAATACTGTTCAGTTTCTTGCACAGACCGATCGTTTCGTGTCTTTACACATCACTGTATCATCACGAGCCGCAGGGTTTAATTTGGTTTTGTCTGTATGTTTTTTTTGTACTCTCAAAACCGTGATTCCCATTCACTTCCATTATATGACTGACAGACTGCAACGGTTTGAGTTAAAAATCTTCGTTTGTGTTCTACTGAAGAAACGAAGTCACCTACATCTTGGATGCCCTGGGGGTAAGCAGATAAACATCAAATTTTCTTTTTTGGGTGAACTATCCCTTTAAACTCAGGTTACTCCAATCAGGCGGTTTCTGTATTTAGTTTAAACTTTTGGATAAAAAGCGCATGACAAACTAAGCCTGATTTCTGGTATAATCAACATGATGGATAAGAAATCGATCAGTTGAGAGCAGTCAGTTTGGGTGAGCATGTCTCAGAGTCTGTGTTTGTGGGCGTCTGACAGGTTTCAGTAAGCTGGCCAGCGTGCCGTCCGGAGGAGCTGTAGCTGCTTCCAGTGCTGCCGCTCCATCCGCTGGAGGATCTGCTGCCGCCCCTGCAGGTCAGTGCCGCCTGGCTCTCTAATAGAGTTGAGCGATAAAACTCTGTGCTGTTGTAGTGAACTGTTGATTGGTTTGCTGTAGGTCCTGTAACGTTAATGTCTATTCCTTTTCTTTTTCCTGCAGCGGAGGAGAAGAAAGAAGAGAAGAAAGAGGAGTCTGAAGAATCCGAAGATGACATGGGTTTCGGACTCTTTGACTAATCTGTCTCCTCGGGACCAAAATAAAGTTTATTACAAAATTATTTCTGCTGCTTTGGTCATTTCAGAATGTTCAAATTATGCTTATAATGTGGAATAGGATGAATGATGGGAATCTAAGCCATAATCACTCCCAAGAGCCCACGGATAACTGCACTGTGGTCATTTGTTTGAAAGTTGTGAATACTTTAAATTGAGGTTTTTAATACTTTTTGTAATTTGAAAATGGCAAAACTTTAATTACCTGGCTTACCTGAATGTTGTCAGTCATGTTCAAACCTTTGTTCGGGAAATGAAAATGTAGGCATACTGATCATAATGACCAGTTATTATTGAGGTAAATTCCATACACTTAGATAATTAGACACTGGGTTAAATTTTCACTGCTATGTGGATGCCACTCAGTTTCTGCCTGTATGAATGAAAGTGTTGGTTGAAAGCCTAAAATCAATTATCTGTAAATACACACATTTTGAATTTTGGTGACCAAAAACAACATGAGAAACAAAAAGCTGTGTGTTTGTAAAAAGCAATTCCATCATCCATATTTGTTTTTCCAGTGGAAATGTTTTATGAATCAGAAGAGAAATATGCACATAAAGCACTGTTTACATGCAAAAACCGTTCTAAACAAATATGTGGGTGAGAGGACAACAGAGGATGGACTTTTTCCACGTTATTATGGATTATAGAGATGTATTTTGGCCAGAAGCGACAGTTTAAAAGTAAAATGCCTTTATGATGGATTTTTTCTTACAAGCTTGCATCTTTTCACTTCACAAGACATTGACTGATGGATTAGAGTCGTGTGGATTGTGTTGGTTTTATCAGCTGTTTGGACTCTCATTCTAACGGCACCCATTCACTGCAGAGGATCCATTGGTGAGCAAGTGATGCAATGCTACATTTCTCCAAATCTGTTCTGATGAAGAAGTAAACCCATCTACATCTTGGATGGCCTGAAAGTGAGTAGAATTTTCACAGATAATCATTTTTGGGTGAACTATTCTTTTAAATATTCCTCTTATTACAAATATTAAAAACACATTCCATATGGATTTAATGGGATTTTAGCATGTAAAGAGTGTAAACTAAAACTTCTTAAGCACAGCATTCTACATTGTGATGTTGGGGCAGTATCTCACCTCTTGTCTTTTGGCTGAGTCAGGTTTTTCTGAAGCTAGAATCGTTCGCTTAGACGTGGATTGGACACGGAGTTTTCAATCGGATAATTTACTTTCTTGTCTAATTAAGATCAGAAGAGTGCAAAAAAAGGCCAGCCACCTTAACTGAAATCATTTCGTAACTGAACAGTTTATGTCTGAAACTATTAGTGATTAATGTTTAATGCATTTGGCATATACACTTTTATCTGAAGCGACTTCAGGTTTACGCATTTTATCGGGTCATGCTTTCCCTTTGGAAAATGAAACCTTGATATTTTTAGTGCCTTCCTAGTAGGATGTGTAATACAATGTAAATCCAAAATTCAATTATTTTTTTTATTTTTTTTTTTATTAAATGGCATCATTGACTGCTTCACTGTTTTGGCCACAATGTGTGAAAATAATTTCAGTGTTTTTGCTATTGTGTGGAGTTTTTGCAGTTGTTTGCTCTCCCAAATGTTAAAACTGATTGTTCTTGCAGTGTGATGCCTAAATCATCCCAGGACATGGAAATTCCAGACGCCTGCACATGTAGCCAACACTTGCAAACCAAAGTGTGTGTATATAGTGTTACCACTCACTAATGCTTTCACTTTCACTTGGAAACTTAAATCATTTTTTACAATCATTTTTTTTTACTTTAAGACTCTTATTGACATAAGTTTGAATGCACAAGTACATCAGACAAAGCAGCATTAAACAACATAGGACGCTGCAAGGTGGGAATTGCCTGTAGGGCCTATACAGTATATATATATAAACATTGTAAAATATGAAGCATTTACGAAGTCTAACTTTTAAGTTAAGAAATTCTGAAAGCTTTTTTAGTTTTTTTTTTTGCATTGAATTCTAAAAGAAGTCATTAGTCAGTTACCAAATGTTACCAAATTAAATAAAAAAAGCCTTATTTTTAGCATTTACTAATTATATAAGTGCTTTCAGTTTTGATGTTTTGTATGTTTTTCTTATGAAAAATCATACAGGGACCTGCAGAGATACAAATTAGTCTGTGCTATAATCTCTGTGCTATAATATAATGTGCAATTCATCATTTTCGGTTTATTTTGTGCTGAAAATATTTTTTTTTTTTTGTACTGACTTCTTTCTTTCTTACAAAACAATTAAAACTGAAAGCACATACAGTATAATTAGTAAATGCTAAAAAAAA